ACAAAAACCAAACTAATCACCTCAAATACTGATGCGAGTCACTTAAACCCCTTTAACTTTGAGGGTAATACGATAGAATTAGTGTCAGATTTTAACCTAGGAACCAGGATAACGTCATTAGGCCTCACCTTTTTAGATACGAAATCGAGAACGAATAATGCTAGACTCCGCTATCATCAACTGTCGAAATTATGGTCATCCAACCAAATATCAACTAATTTAAAAATAAGACTCTTCAAGTCCCTAATTGTACCCATTTTTACCTACGCCCTGGAGACTTGGCAAGACTCAAAAAGTAACATCAGCACAATTCAGACTTTTATAAACAAATGCCTTAGAAGAATCACCAAAACGTATTACCCATACAACACATCAAATACAACGCTCTGGAATAGATGCGACATCCTACCAATCAATCGTCTCATACCCTTGAGGAGACTAGAATTACTAGGCCATAGCTTAAGACACTCGCAGGAAAATATGATATTATTTAAATTAAAAAGTCATAAAAAATAAAATTGGTAGACATAATAAAATTTATATTTACGAATCTACATTTTATATTAAGAACCAATCAACAAAATGGAAAATAATAATCAATCAAAAATAATTATCCTCGAACAAAAAGTATTATTTAAATTAAAAAGTCATAAAAAATAAAATTGGTAAACATAATAAAATTTATATTTACGAATCTACATTTTATATTAAGAACCAATCAACAAAATGGAAAATAACAATCAATCAAAAATAATTATCCTCGAACAAAAAGTATTATTTAAATTTAAAAGTCATAAATTTTAATTGATATTGAGTTGATCAGAATTCACTAAAATAAAAATGAATTACAAGTTGTTTTCTCCCAGAATAGTAAATTTTAATTTTAGGATGACCGAAATAATCATGACTTAAAAAAAATAATGCATACGGAATTTAAAAATTTTAACACTTAATTTTTTAAACGGGCGCTCATGCTTTCGGATGCTCACAGCAGGGATTTTATTTTTTAGTCTGTTATTCAGGTGTAAACAAGTTAGATGTTATGGTTTCGGGGCATGAATAATAAAGGTTACGGTTTCATTTTTATAAAGGTGTAATTGTATGTTTTATAACGTCTATTTTAGTTTTGTACAAATTTTGAATCACATCTAACATCTAGGATACATTATCAACAAACTCATGGGCCTTGAGTATATCTTTTTTTTACCAATATTTTTTAAATTTAGGAGAAACAAAAAATACATTTGGAAAATTGTATTCCTCTTCCAATAACTTTATTATTGAAGCAGAAAATCTATATATATTTTTTAAAATACAACTCTTACCAATTATGTTTTTATTAACAAACCTTGTTACCCAGAGAAAAAAAATAAGAAGGGCACTAAAAATCCCTTTTTAGTTGTTTAGTTTTATATTTAATATAATTTTATATAAATGCAAAATATAAAAACATCTTTTAATTAAAATGGAATATTTTGAACTGCCATATAGATTGCCTTTTTCGTGCAATTAGTCCTTACTTATCAGATCAATTCAGAGAATTATCTTGAAACCCTTTTTAGACTTTTATCATGAAGGTAGAGCAATAGCAATTCGCGAAACACTTATGTTATGTGGGTCATTTTTTTTGTGTTAAATTGTACATTCATTCATTTATTTTTGGTGATTGATGGAATATTTTTTCCATTACCCATGAAATTATTGAAAGATTTATGTGCCAAAAAATAATATAAAATTGTATTTAGTTGTTTTATTATTTATCAACTTACCAAGCACCCAATTAGATTGTCAATTTCACCATATCAATTAAAATCTTAAGGAAAAAAATATATTAAAATTTACCCAGACGCCATTACTTGAATTAAAAACATAAATCATGAACATTTATATAGCGCCCTATATTACATTTGATAAAAATCATTATACAAACTAATTGTAAACGTCCCATAATACTTTTTCGCGAATTTCTTTTTTATCGCATATGTCATTTATCGTGAATGATTTAGATCGAAGATAATATGGTGAGATTAATTACTTTTTTCGGTCAATTTTATTTGATAGAAGGAGGGTAAAACTTTCGAGAGGTTGATATCATTATTCGCTTAGATGGGTGAACACAACAATACATTATATTATTCACAAGATTCTTGACTAAGTTAAAATAGAAATGGTATAGCAAAATATTATGTTTTTAGTAGAATTATTTAATATTTTTTTGAAATTAAATCTACATAGAGAATAAATAATAAATTTCATAATAAAAATAAAAAAAATTTTTATTATTGAAATTTGAAAGAAATACAAGAGTGTAGTTATATCGAATAGTTCTTAACATTTTAAACACGGAATGGGCATAATTTATTTTTACACTTTTGATATTGCGATGGGCGGATAATGTGGTTTCATATCAATTGAAACTTTTATCGCAAAGCCCTTTTTCGTGAGACCTTTTCTGAATGCGTTTATCGTGAATGGATTTTATAGCGAAACTCGAATGCTATTCAGCGAAGGCAATATGGTAAATTTTCTATAGCAAAATCATTATCGTGAAAACTTTAAAGCGAATATATTACAGCAAAACTTTTATCGCGAATTAATAATCGGGAAAATTTTGTAGCGACGTTATTATCGCGAAACCCAAATCGCAAAGGCAATATAGCAAAAACTATTTCGCGAAACATATATCGCGATTATTGCTAATAGTTACTATTTTATTTTGAAACATTTATTTTTATGATTATATAATTGAATAATATTTTTAAAAAAAAATGGGTACAATATTGATTCTGATAGTTTTCAATTTTCTTATAAACTTTATAAATTTCTATAATGATTAATGAACTTTATTAATATATTAATCAATGAGTTGATTAGTTAAACCTTAATCCTTACTAGCGAAATTGATATCTTTGTTGCGCCATTATTTATTGTCTGATCTCAATATTTAAAAATTTATCAATCAGTTTTGCCAATCATTAACCAGAAGCAGAGTTATAAGATAATTTAATACTATTATATCTCATTAGACTGTCTTCATCGATTTTTTAATGGCGATTCAAAATAAATTGCATCTAAGTAAAATAAGGGATTTCCACAATTCAAAATATTTTTAAATATTATGATCTTACGATCTTTATAGATATTTTTTTTATCTTTTATGTTTAATTAGATATAAAATATTAGTTACATTTTCGAAAATTTTATAGGAATCTGAATCCAATATTAAGAAGCAGCTTAAGCTCTAGAATTAATGCCTGTGAATGTTTGGCAAACTTCATGATAAAGGATGCATATTAATATTCGATTCCAATTCCTATCAAATTTTTTGAAAATTTAACCTATTATTTTACTTCTATATCAAAGTAAGAAAAATAAAAAATCTATAAAGATCGTAAAATCATAAGATTCAAAAATATTTTGAATCGGGGAAAACTCTTATATTAACTGAGGAAACTGCTTTGTGAGTTAAAAATAAGTAGTAATCAGCAATTTTAACCTCAATAAATTTATATAATAATTGAGCATGGAATTGGTTTATAAAATTTATTATTGGAATATAAGTTTTAATGATATTCTGTCTTATTCTTTTCTTTTCTTCGTAGTCTTAATTTATAAGAATTGTTCATAAAGATTTATTAATATATTCATTTGGTTCATTAGTTAACCTTGGATATAATGGTGAAAGTGATATATGAGTTGCGCCAATATTTATTTCTATCATTGGAATTGACTTTTCAAAATATTTTATAAAAATATTAGTTAATTTAAAAATAATGTTTCAAAATAGAATAGTCATTATTAGCAATTACCACGATATTGACTTCGCGATTATATCTTGGCGATAGATATTTCGCGAAGCAATTTTAGCCATATTGTCTTCTCAATTTAAGTTTCGCGAGAATGACTTCACTATATAATTTTCAAGTTTAATATTTCAGATAAAGGCGCTGTAATATATTAGCTCTCACGGGTTCGCGATAAGGGTTCGATATACAAAATGCGGTATTTTTTCGGGATAGTCTTCGCGGAAGTGTATTTTCTAATGTGTATTCACGACAAAAAGTTTCGCTAAAATATCCATTCGCTATAATAAACATTCATGATAAAAGTTTTGCGAAAAGGTGTTTCGCGATAAATGTTTTGCTGAATTTACATGAAACCAGTCTCATAAGGGATTTTTACAATTATTATTTTCTAATTATATTATAATTCTTTAAAAATATATTGTCTTACCTAAAGCTAAAACATCAATTATGCATTACTTATTTGTGATTTTTAAAAATATCTCTAGTATTTTCATATTTCTATTGTTTAATATTCATCTAATTGCCCAATAGAATAATTAAAATTTCAGTTTTAAAATAATTTCACAGTTTTATAATTAATTTTCCAGTTTTTAAATCAATTTGTTCAGTTTATAATTCATATTTTCACAGTTTTATAATAATTAATTTCCAGTTTCTATATCAATTTGTTATTTTTAATTCAAGTTTTCACCAAATAAAATTATTTTTCAATCTTTGTTAGATTTTACCAAAGAATGTAGTGGGATTGGTATCTATTAAAATTAATATTTTTCCTCGAACTAACTCTTATCTTTGTTGCATAGACCTAAGCTAACCGAACGCTGTTCAAGAGTTATGAGGCTGTATTCTTAACCTCGCAGTTATATAAAAACTAACAGACTGGCTGTTTTGCGCTGCAGATTTGAGTATCTATCTTTTAGTTTATTAAATTTCGAATTTATGATAATTGTTCAGAAATTAAATGAATATATTAGTATAATTTTTCCCCTTACTAATGATTATTAGATATAGTGGATGCATTTATATAGGTAAAATATAAGTATTATAGATACAAAATTATGGTTAGGCAAGTTTTTTTAAAAAAAGAGTAAGGTATAAATAAAATCGATTATTTTAAAATATAAATACAATGTAAATCTAATTTAAGTGTACTAATAGGACTATCTTTTTCACCTATTTTCTAGTTATAAGTAAAGAATCTTTTTGAACCAAAAAAAGTTAAATAGCTCAATTAAGATTTGACCTGTACACTATAATCTATAATTTTTTTCACAAGTAATGATATATGTTGTTAGTAATATGTTTCTCTTTCGACCCATCCACCTGGGTGATGTCTGATGATGTATTTTCTTATTTCATCATAAGCGAATATCAATATTGCAAAAGGTGTAGCAGGTAACCACCATAAAAATCTGTAAAATTTTATGATAAAATTGTTTTCAAATTAAACTTTATATACATAGGGAATCGATGTAAGATCTTAAAAAAATAATGCATTTATTTTAAAACCGTTTTTAAAAAATTTGCAAATTTAAAAACAAAATATTCCATATCAGAATTGCGGATATATTTGAAAGGCTCGCGATATAATCATACGTGGGAAATCGTTATCAACATCATTTAAATAAAAGAATATTTAAATTGATGCAATTATTCTTTCAAGATATTCATAAAGGTAAAGCAGAAATGTTTTTTTTTAAAAAACGAGACAATTTATTAGTAAAAACTAGGAATGGAAATTCTCTTAAAAAATCCTAGGGAAAAAGTAATTTAAAAAAATACCAAATTCCGAAAATATAATCCAGGGAAAAGGTAGGCTTGATTTGAGCTAAAGTTAAATATATAAATTAATAGTTTTGCCAAATAACTAGGTATAGAGTAGAGTATAACTGAGAATTAGAGGTAGACAGATAAGGGCGAGGATTAGTTTTTACAATCATACACCTTTATTTTACTAAAATTGAAGTGTTGTTTAATAAGTGCAACTAAATTTAACTAGTAACTGAATATATTATTTGAATTGAAACTACAAAAATAACTAGTAAATTTTCTAGTTACTTTTTAAAATATGTTAAATATTTTATATATATACTGATCTCACAAATTTGAAATTAATGTTTATTAAATAATATCATAAATTTTTTATAGTTTATGATTATGAATTATTTATGGAGAAAAGGAAACTCCTTTTAGACATCAATTTTGAAAGTAGTTTATTGTAATCAATTTAAATTTATATTAAGTCCAAATTTTTTGAAAAATATATATTATATTCTGATACATTTTTTTTTCAGTGCAAATATTATATTATCTTATATTTTTTCAGTGCACTATTTAATTCTATTTTTATTTAAACTCTTTGATTAAAATTTGTAAATTATAAATAATTTTTAAAATAACTTAGGTAATTCTAGTTACTTTTAAAAATAACTTTTAATATCACTTATAAATTTTTGTAATATTAATTGCCCAAGAATTTAACATTGAAAATTATTGTAGCTTTGTATTGAAAAAATATTTTATTTAAAAAATGGTTTTTTAATTTGTTATTTTTACAGATGTTGGTTTTTAAAAAGGGCTCGATTAAGATTTTAGCCAAAATAATATTATGTAAGCCTCGAGGTTTGACAAATAGATGCTTAAACCTTTCTGCAATCTATGAGCAAATCTTCAGGCTTACATAATATTATTTTGAACAAAATCTTAATCGGACCGTTTTTAAATTCCACCCAAATCGGACAGTTTACCCACACTAATTATTTTAATTTAGAAGGGTTAATATTACTTTGTATTAATTTATGCAATATTTTTATCTAAAAAAAATTTGCATAAATTAGATTAACATCATAGTCATCGCTTCGCTTATTTTTAAATAATTATATACATATATCTATAGAAATGTTCAATCACAATTACTGTTGATTGGTGTACGCCTCGCTTATTTTTAAATAATTATATACATTATATCTAATCTATACAAAACGTCATTCACAATATTACATACTGTTGATTGGTGTAAAAAAAAGAAAAATATCATTATAAAAATTAAACGGTATCTTAGCATTATTAATTTTTTGGTAATATATATTTTTTTATCTTCGAAATTATATATTGGAATTTACTTATTCTTTGTTTTTGATGAAAATAATTTCTCATTCCTATCAAATTTTTACTAATAAAAATATTTGAAAAAAAATTATAATTGAGTGACAGTTATATAAGATTGCCATAATTCTATCTAAGAGTAAGTTTGAAATCTTTTAGAGTAAGAAGTTAAATTAATTATATCTAAGTGTAAGTTTGAGTTCTGCTAAAAACATCTTTTAGTTTATAAGAAGAGGAAGAAATATGACAAATGGTTTTTATATTTTATTTTGTTTGGCAAGGGAAATTTTTGTTGCCGGGACATACATTACCCTGCTCATATGATTGACCGAAGATATTGCGAATTTAGTTTTAAAAACAATGAAGTTGTTGATAAAAGATTAGATGTTATAAACCGGCTCGATTTTAGAGATCTGGAATGGTTTCAAATGAAGATAACAAATATAAATAGTTGAAGTTATATCATAATTGTTTAAATAATATTTTATATATTTTTGATATAGCATGGAAAAAAATCAATACCTGTTAAATAATTTTTTTTAAAAAAATTTCCCTTTGTTTCCCTATTTTCTCATTATTTCCCGTTTTTCCCGAAATTCCTAGGAAAATTTCCATTAATTATACTTTCCCGGGAAATTTACATCCCTAATTATAAGTCTATGAGATCAATATCTTAACTATAACTTCTTAACTAATTTTTTTTTAATTTTAATTATGAACCGTTTTATTTATTTTTAAAAAAAGCCTCATCATTCATTTTATTGAGGTATATTCCCTAATTTTCCAATTTCCTGGGAGATATTTTTACTGAAATAGGTTATACTCTATTTAGAATTTTTTGAAAAAAATCATAATTCATAAACATTCTTAGTTAATTTAAATATAAGATAAGACAAAAAGATTATATTCAAATTATTGATATCATGTTTTTCATTGGCGAATCATTTTTTTATAAAAAAAATGAATCCAAACTTGATAGGATACATCCTTAATCCTCTATTCATTCCAGGTATATAACACAATGCGACGGCTATGGCAGTTTCAAATACGAGGGCAAAATTTAAGACCCAATTTCTATGTTTTTTTTAAATTATTTATTAATATTTAAGATGTCAATTTTTTTAAAAATCTATTCAGATATTAAATTTTGTTTTAATTAGAAATTGTGATTAATTTTCTATAATATATTTATGTTGGACTTTAAATCATTTATTAAAAAAAATTTACGTCATTCCTTGCTTAAAGATAGAATTCTTTCTAGTTTTACAGATGATCAAGTCAGCCCATTGAACTACAACTATAGAAACGAAAAAGGCAGTGTGACAGGTGTACTCCAATATCTTTCTGTCCTCGTATGTCTATAGATTTTTGTTTAGATTTTATATTATATAATAAAAAAGAGTAAAGATTAATATGCTACATATTTTAATTGAAATTGTAAGAAATATGATTTAATTATAATTGACATATTTATTCTCTACTTCATTTTTTTAAATACAGTTTGCAATTTGATAAAGAAGAACATTTCAAATAAAAATTTAGTATGAAGGTATAATATATAAAAGGTAAATTTCTATATCTAGACTCATTTGAATTCTCAGTTATTCCCTGCAAAAGTTATATATATAACCCATTCTTGCCCGTAAGAGTCTCGCAAATCATTAACGTTTTCAGAATCCCAACCCATCCTAAGTCCTATTAAACTCCTGGGTAAAAATCCGTTTTCGGCCATTATAATGATATAGACAAAAAAGCCTGCTGCAGCCTGGACCATGCCTATTTGTCCATATGACAAACTTATCAATCTAGATATAATAATATATGGGGTGAATATAAAACATATAACCATATACATATGGAGTTATTTAGAATTAAATTATAGGGTATGAATAACCTATCGTTGACTAATTTATCATATTTCGGGTTTCTAGGTCTCCGTTTCATTATATCGCTTTCGGCTTTTTCGTAAGCCAAAGAAATGGCTGGTACCTAAAATATTGATACGAATGTAGTATATATAAAATAAGCATATTAAAAGTATGTTTTTAGGGAAATAAATATGCTATTTTGGATGGTTTTCGTTTACAGTTTCACATTATATTAATTTATAGCCTAAGAATTTCTAATTAGGCAGTCCGCCATAAATTGGTTTGTATCGGTCCAGATCTACATTTAAAAAAAAAAAATTTCGGGATGAAAGAAAGCAGGTAAAAAAAAATTTAACGAGCAGACTCAAGGTCTACTTTTGGACTCTTTTTAATTCTATAAATTTATTCGAAAGAAAATTTACCATATCGGTTCCTAAATCGATACACAATATAGTTATAGTTCCAAGTGGTAATGGAATGTTAGCCAATATAAAAATCAAAAAAGGCATTAATTCCGGTATGTTACTAGTCAAGGTGTAAGCAATTGACTTCTTTAAATTGTCAAATATCAAACGACCTAATAATATTATACAAATAATATATAAAAATTTTAATTAATTTTAATTTTTTTTAAAAAATCAATACGATTAAATTTAAAATAACTTAAAACCTTCTTCAACTCCAGTTACTATAGAGGCAAAATTATCGTCTAATAATATCATATCGGCTGCTTGTTTACTAACATCACTTCCAGAAATACCCATAGCTACGCCTGATATTAAGTTTTTTTTAAATAAATTAACTTTTATTATAAAAAGGAGATTTCTTTTGTATATTATTTTAATTTTAATAAAATTTGGTTTTAACTTTTGACTAAATTGTTATATAGTGACCGATACCATATATCATTGCCTTGCTTAAATCTCGATAATATAATATTAACCAGCACTTTGCATAATGAGACAATATCTAATATCTTATTAGATTGCCAGAAATTTATATGGAATAATCCGGTATAAATTAAATTTTTTTGCATTTAAAAAACGGCTAAATATATAATTTAAAGCTGGAAAATGATAAAATAATCTGTGAGCGCGTTTTAAAATTTGAAGATCGAAATTCACCGATAATATATTCCATCCAGTATGTGTAAAATACTTATCCTATAAATTTCAGACTATTTGGTAATAAACTTTTGAGTTTATTTTTTCAATTTTTATATTTACAAAAATTTCACGGTTGTATTGCCTGATTAACTATATTACCTTCTTGATACAAAATAATATATTGTAATTTTAAATTATTTCAAAATGTTTATAAAATTTCTCTTTTGAATCACTTATCTTGCCCTTACTCTCTTGATTTTATTTTTCACTTTTCATTTTGTACATTTCTCGATCCTACCTTTAGAAGTCTTTCTCGTTATATGTGTGATTAATAAAACTAGCTCATTTTAAATAAACCGATATCTGCCTGTTTAAGAGCCGGAGAATCATTAACTCCGTCTCCCGTAACTGCTACTATAGCGCCTTGCCTTTGAAAGCCCTCGACTATTATAAGTTTTTGTTGAGGGGATGTCCGAGCGAATACTATTTCAGGATGGTCCCTCAAAACTGCGTCTAGTTTTTCTGAAGACATCTCCTTGAGTTCTGCTCCATGGATTACGCAGGCCTTAGCATCTCTTCATGGAAGAGAGGTGGTTTTTAGTGTATATTAGGTTAGATATTAATGTAACTTGTCTAATTTAGACTTTTAATAAATCTGCTCACTTGAATTTAAATTAATATTTTTGATAAAATGAGTTCCTATTAAATATTATAGGAATTGTTATAGAAACATCTGCCAAAAATTTGAACAAAATAGCTCACATATCTCGGAAAATAAACTATAATATTAAAATAAATTTTATATGATAGTATATATATGATGACAAGATGTGTTATCACCTGGGATTAACCGCTTTTATTGGAATATTCAATCTGGTGGATATATCTTCAACCGTCTCGCTATTTTCGGAAATGATACCCACACACTTTGCTATAGCTTTTGCTGTTATAGGATGGTCACCGGTAACCATAACAACCTTATAGCCATCCGAAATAAATATAATTCATTATAAAATTCAAAAATCTTTGATATTTGGTATACGCTCTACATTAGGAGAAGTCAGGGAAAAATTTTCCTCCTTCTTCTAGAGAATTTCCAGCAAAATATTTAAGTAAAAAATTACCTCTACTCTCCCTTTAAATGAATACACAATTAAAAAAGAATACCAGACCGAACTAAAAATGAAGGGCCTAAATCTCTAAATTAATTTATCCTAATAATATTCTCCCCCTTTGAAAAATTCGGGCTATGCCTATGGTTTATTTCATAAACTAAACGATATAAAGGTATTTAAAGTTAAGTGGGTATATTATTATCCAAGAAAAATTAAACCCTTCTAATTTCAAGTTTAAAAATAAGCCTGTAGATACTTTTGATAAACTAAAAAATATTGCCAAACTCTTTCTATTCCTAAAATTAACAGTAAAATGTACTAGCACATTAAAAACTTCTAGGGCCTATAAAATTTAAAAATTATAAAAAATGTTTGGACGGGGGGGGGGGGGGGAATTTATCTGAACTTTAAAATAATGCGAATCTAAACCTTGATGCCAGCACTCCGACATTTAGCAACTGCATCTGGAACTGCTGCTCTAGGTGGATCTATCATTGCTATGAGACCTACAAACCTTAGATTGTCTAGAGGGAAATTAACTTCCTCCGAATCGAATTTAAAATCTCTTGGAAATGCGTCAGCCGGAAGAAAATGATCGCAAAATCCCAAAACCCTCTCTCCCAGCCCACCCAGTTCCAAGTAAGCTTGGTTAAATGCCTCTTTTTCGGTCTCGTCTATTGGTCTATACAAACAATAAATTATTGTAAAAAAAATTTTATAACACCATTTAGTAAAATATTTAAGATTGCGATGTGAAGTAGAGCACTGCTAGTCGGTCAGAATTTTGCCTAGATAGAAGCCACTCCCAGTTCAAATATTTTATAAATTTTTAAGTCCGAACCCTAAATTTATATTTATTTATAGCGTGGTGTCTCTTTATTCCAGATTCATTTTTATTTTATCATAACAACAGAAGAAACATCATTTTCTGTTTTTTTTTAAATTTTAACGGTCTACGAATTTTTTAAGTCGTCTAAATTTTTAGGTCCCGATCAAGCCTCATCTAATTCGGGCCGATTTGCATTATAAAATGCAATATCGAATAATATTAAATTTTCTGCATAGGAATTATTTTAAAAAATATATTATTTGAAACGAACTAGAGGAATTTTTTTAACAAACTAATACAAATTTTATAACAAACTAAAGATGAAGTGAACAGCCTCAAATTCATAGACATAACGGTTCAGTTGATTATTTCACTCTGCCTCATAAATTCATATGGGTTCTTCTCAATCTCAATATGTTACGGTTTTTTTCATAATTTTTAAAAAATTTTTAATTAATCATAAAATATTTAATTAATTGAGTCAGAAGGCTAAAGATATTTTAAAAACTTAGAAATAAAAACTAAATAAATTACTTTAAAAAACTTAAAAAATAAAAATTAAACAAAAATATTGAAAAAACTTAGTAAAGAACCAAGCAAAAATTATAGAAAATATTAAATTTCTTTATTTTATTATAAAACATAAATAATAAATTCAGTAACATAGCATAACCATATATAAATTATTTAACCGGTTAAAAGGTTATAAGGGTTCGAATACAAAATCGTTTTGTAACGGTTTGGCACTGTTAGAAAAATACGGTTTATTTCGGTTTTGCGATTTGGTTCGATGCCCTGTGTGAGGTAAAGCTGTTACATTCTTATAAAACTAAATGAACATATAAATAAAGACATTTCTTCTCCATGAATCAAAATGGTGGAACATCGTTCGAATATTCTCTCAGGAGCTCCTTTCATTACAAGCAAGTATCTAGATTCATTTTCGATTTCGTGAATTGATACCTATTACAAATAAAGAAATATAAGACATATGAGTTTCAAGGTGACAGTTTTTTAAATAAAGAAATTATAGGACATAAGAGTTTTCAAGTTATGCATATTTTTTTCTAAACTATTGCTAAAAGGATTAAGAAACTTACTATCTATATATATCCGTGATTAAATGGGTTAATATTTATTTATTATTATAATTCTATAAGAAAATAACTCAATATATTGTGTATATATATATACTTTAATAAAAAAAAATTTATAAGAATGCTATATTCCACACTAATAATTATACTTGGTATTTATTGGTAGAATTAAAAGGAATTTCGATCACTTTCAGATTCTTGGCCCTAGTCAATTCAACATTTCCAAATGACAATTCAACGCATTTTAACAGAGCGGATTCAGAAGCATCACCTATGCACTCCCTCATTATAAAAAAATAACTAACTTAGTTTTCAAATACAAAATTGTAAAATGTTGTTTTGTTTTAATATAAATATTTTATTTTATTTATTATATTTGGGTATAATAATTTAGCCTTTAATATAATGATTCGCTTATTATTATTTTAAATTAAATTTGAAAGAAAAGAAAATTATATTTTAAATACCTAGCTAAAACGGGTATTTCTTCCTGAGCAGGTTTGAAGCTAGCTCTATTGCATAAAGAAGCTATTCTTGATAGAGCTAACCATGTTGGTTGATCTTTGTGTAACGAGGAAGCTAAAAAAAATAAGTATAGATATTATTATTGTAGTGGATTAGATAGTAAGTTAGTAAATTCTTTAATTACCATTTTTTAGGTCATTATTTTTTTTTAAACTTATAATTATTTTTTGTTTTAAAACTTTTTGAATGAATTGAATTAAGATCCACGTTTATTTATTGATAGATAATTATATCACATTTTATATTGATTATAAATTATATTTTATTTTTTATAATAATTTACATTTCATTTTTTAATGATAAATTAAATTGTTATTCCCCTTTCAACAATGACATATAATAATACCTAGACTGACGATTCATTCATTAAAATGCATTTTTAAGCGTCGTTAAAAGCAAATCAGCTGGACCCGCCATTTTGGTAACCTTTATAATAATTATTTTCATGTTAAAAACTAATATTAAATTGATAACTTACTTTCTTATTATCTCGATGAACAGGCAATTCTTTAATAAAGTTTGCATCAGATATAATATAAAATTAGGCTCTCGTTTAAAATTTTAATATTTATTACAGTAACCAAGATGGCGTCTCTAGCTGATTTGTATTGATGTACACTTTTAATGAATGAATCGTCAGTCTAGGTATTATTATATGTCATTGCCTTTCAACAAAAACAATTTCTCTTTATATATCTTTTTTTAAACAATAAAAAAAATAACTAATTGTGTGAAATACAAATTGATATTTAAAAAAAAGTAACGTTAAAAGGATATAATAAAATGTTAATATAAAATTTTCACCGATTAAATTTAAATACAAATTGATATATAAAAAAATAAATCAATTGCCAAAATAAATAATAAAATAACATCGATCAACATATTCAACAGAATCCGAATTATCGGAAATGTATTTTAGCTTGTAACACCTACCTTATAAATTTCGACAATTTTGCATTTAACAATTTAGTAATTTAAAATTATGTAAAAAATCAAAACCTAATATAAATTATATCAAGTTCAAAAGTTCATGGCAAAATTTTCTAAAAACAGGGCAGGTAGTTTTTTTATACATGCTGAAATATGTTTCCTGCAAAATTATATTTCTTAAATCTAAAAAATGATTAAAAGTTAAAAAAAATAACAGTTGATTGAAAAAACCCATTGACGCCTAATTGAACTGAGATACCCTTTTTGTTGGCAATAAATCTGTCAATTCTATACATAATTCAATAAAATTATATAGTTTGAGAAAAATATAAATTATCAATTCTTTCTGTGCAAATTTCATTAAATTTTATAAACAGGGTCTTAAGTACATTCAAAGTTGGACAAACAAAATTCGAACTTTGCCAATATGTAAAAATTTATTCTATAATAAAAAAATGGTTTTAGTAGATATGAATATGACTTGAGTTCAATTTGAATTTTAAAACAAGAAAAACATTATGGAATCAAAACGTTTATGAAAGAATTTCCTAACAGAAACTGATTTATTGCAGTTTTGAATCAATTGATTGCAAAAGTTTATCATGCCGGATCGGCAGAATGATGGTAGACCACGCACAGCTCGTAATATAGAAAATGTTGATTCTGTTGAAACACTCATATTGAGCCAATAAGACCTATCTGATACCCTCAGAAAAATTCGTCGAGCATTCCAAACTGTATTTAGCAAATTTCAGTGCCCCAGATTAGCAAAAAACTGTAGCTGAAATGTAAAAAAGAAAGGCCTAGGATCAAACCGATGCGAATTGTCCCTCTGATAGGCACCAAATAATTTCTACGAATATTCTCCAAGTTAGTTTATTTTATATAGTTTAGAGATGAAAAGTTGTTTACAGTAACTCCATCGGTAAATCTGCAAAAAATGATAGGGTGTACGTTGCCGTTTCAATGAGAAAAAAAACAAGATGCAGCCAATCTTGTTTTGTAAGATTTTTCTAACTCTGTAATGGTTGGCTGCACAGAGCTCTTTTTATCAATCTAGGGGTCAAAATTAATGGTGCATACTATAGTGACGGTTTACTAGGTAATTATTGCCTGCTATTAAAGAATCGTTAGGCAGTAAATTTTTATATTCTAGCAGGACAGTGCTCAAGCTCATCGACCCCGAGAAACTGTGAATCTGCTTATAATAGAAGCCCCAAATTTTATTTCACTCACTCTTTGGCCCCCCAATAGCCCTGATCTCAATCTGATTGACTACAAGATATAGAGCGTCCTTCAAGAACCTGTTTCTCAAACTCGCATACTTAACGTTGAACATCCCAAACAACGACTTGTAGAGGAATGAAATCGTTTTGATCGAGGAATTGTTGATCGCTCAATCAATGAATTGCGAGGTCGCCTTAGAGCATTTATTTGAGCTTATGGCGCGCATTTGAAATTAGCTTTGAAATACAATATTTGACTAAAATTAATTTTAAATGTTGTGTTTTCATTTTTTTATAAATTGTAAAGTTAAATAAAATAAAATAAATAAATTTTTACATATTCGAAAGTTAAAATTTTGTTTGTTCAACATTGAATGTGCATAACTTTGAACCCTGTTAATAGAATTTAATCAAATTTACAGAAAACAATGATTGTTTATCTTTCTCTCAAGCTATATAATTTTATTGAATTATATTTAGAATTGACAAATTTATTATTAAATCCAAATGGGCATCACAATTGGAACACCGTATCATTAATATTTGTATAAATATTTTCATATAAATTATAAAAATGCTCAAATGTTCTTGGCAAAATTGTCTGAAAATCATAGATACGCTATTCAAGTTGAAACTTTACCGAATAAATTTTATTTCTAAAATTTAAAAATCGGCCTCAAGAAATGGTTTTAAATTGAGTGATTCCAAATCCCCATGAATTCCATATCCCAATACGATATATATATATATATATATATAATTATAATGGGGTAATGTACAGCCATGAAACAATATATATGAATATACTTTTCCGCGTAAAATATAATAAAAATTAAGATATTTACATGATTGATCTTCCGTGGTGTCGGCTTCCCATATCTTGTTATCGAACCACATATGTGCTACTGTCATCCTATTTTGGGTTAGCGTACCAGTTTTATCTGAACAAATCGTGGAAGTGGAACCTAATGTTTCTACAGCTTCAAGATTTTTAACCAGGCAATTTTTAGAAGCCATTCTTTTCGCGGTAAGTGTTAGACAAACCTGTTTATGTAATTATTCTTTTAGAAGATCTCAAAGTTTTTTTAAAACTTGATATAACTATTCAAATAGTTACCTTGAAATTAAATTATTTATAAGTATGTAAGAGAGCTGTTATTAAAATCAATGTCAATATCTATATTTTTTGTAATAAATAATTTTATCTGCTAATAAGATGGTATGGGTAGTAGCTGACTTCAAATTAAGCTAAGTTATAGCTATGACTTTTTTCGATTGCTATAGCTTAACTTACATTTTCTAGAAGACTATAGTTTAGTTTAGCGTTTTTATGGGTGGGGGGGGGGGGGGGATTGAAGGCAGCACACACAAATTTGCCTACTACCCCTTCCCCTAAACAAATTTCCTAGAAAATGGTTTAAAACTAGCACTCACCTCCCATTATAAAAAATATTTAAGTCTACATAAATGTTTCTAAAATGTAAATGTAACCAAGCTATACCTATTAGCGGGCTCGGACCTAATTCTATTTAAAATAATCGGGTTCGGGCCGGGCCTAATATTTTTAAAAAAATTTTGGGCCGGGTCGGGTCTGACAATGGAAATTTTATTAAATATATCTAAATTTATCAATTTTATATTGTATGTAAAATAAAAAATTTTGATTTAATTTATTGAAACTAAATGCTATATAACATATGTCTTTTATTTAATTTCTATATTTAAATAAATTCGGGCCTGGCCGGGCCGGTTAATTTTTTTAAAATAAATTTCGAGTTCGGGGCGGGCCGGCAAAACTTTTTTAAAAAAAATTTCGGGCCGGGCTTGAAAAATTAGGCCCGATGCAGATCACTAATACCTATATCTTAAATTTGAATTTATAGCTAAGCTAAAAGAAAAATTAAAGGTTGCTACATTTTTATTGTAGCTATGCCCATCCTTTTCTTCCTGTGATAAATTATCGTGAAATGAGAATGCTCATTTATTTCATAAAAAATTTCAAGTATCTCATAATAATATTATACATTACCTGATAAATATAAAATTATATAATATCAAAAAAGATATTATAGATTATTAATGCAAACCGTAACAGTCGCCAGAAGACCCTCCGGTACGTTAGCCACAATGATTCCAATCAGAAAAATAACGGCATCGAGCCAAGTGTAATGTAAAATTAAGGCCATTATAAAGAAAGTGATTCCCAAAAATATTGCCACTGCGGTAATAATATGGATGAAATGGTTGATTTCTTTGTGAATCGGAGTTTCTCCCATGTCGATTCCTGAAGCCAAGTTAGCAATTCGACCCATAACGGTTCGATCACCTGTGCCTATAACTATGCCGGTGGCTGTTCCTTTAGTAAATTTTTTTAATTTTGGGGTAGGTTAAAGGGATAATCAAGTCCTTTAATGAAAGTGTAGAATATCTAATGATGGTTATAAATATCAATGTATAAACCTTATTAAATTTAGGAAATTTTTTCTTTTTTCTCACTTAAGGTAAATTAATATTATATTCCCAATTTATAATTACGCTTTTCTCTAACAGTGTATTATTCTTCAAACTAAAATCTTTGGGTTATTTGCTTCACTCATTCCCTTACTTTGTTAGCCCAATAATGAATTTTCAAATAATATCTTAAAACATGATCTCTATTGTTTTGAATAAATGTAGGAAAAGTTTCCTTAAAAATTTCAGAATATGAATATCTGACGGATTCAATTATGTTAATTTTTTTTCTTCCCTTGAATAATTTCTCATTTTACTATTCCTGTAATTATCTATAATTCTTCTTTTATAAATAAGTATTTTTCACTTGAATATTTATAATTTATTCTGAAGTTGTTTCATTCAAATACAAATCAGTTAATAAAAATATATCGAAAACGAAAAAAATATTTAATTATAGTATTTTTTTTAAAATCATTTTTCGAATAAATAATTTCGCAGTTGGCTTTACAGATTAGGCTGGATTTATTAATAATTAGGTATAAAACCTTCAACGGCGTTAGTTGAAAAAAAGGCCAAATTTCTTGTTTCTAAAGGGTTTTTGTTATTATTTTCGGGACTTCTTGATTGCGGCTCGGATTCGCCAGTTAATGAGGAATTATCAACCTTAAAATTATGAATTATATATTTAAATAATCTTTTTAAGATATGAAAATTAAAGGTTTTACTAATGATATAAATATGACATAAAAGGTGCTCAGAGTAATTATTAATTCGGTTAATAAATACATCAAATTGTCATTGTCATTCTCATATAATATTAAATATTACCCAACAATTACATTAATATAAAATATAATAACATTATTTTTATGAACATTATTTTTATGAACCTTAAACCCGTTAGATTTGATGATCCGAATATCGGCCGGTATTCTATCTCCAAATTTAGTTTCGACAATGTCTCCTAACACAACATCTTCGGCCTTTATATCAATTTTTTTTCCATCCCTAATCACAACTGCTTGCTTAAAAACATAATTTTTAAAAAATTAACTAAAAATGTCATAATATTAGAAAAAAAAGGATTTAAAAATAGACCCGGTTAATATTTTTTTCACAAAGACCCTGCCAAATGCTTTAAAAATAGGGTAAAATGTTATATGAGATAAGAAATTTAACAAATATAATACCTCAACTGCCTAGGTCATAAAGAAAATTACATATTTTTTAAAAAAATAAATGTAAACCTCCGCAAAAATAGAATAATGAAAAAAATCAATATTTTATTATGGCTTTGTGAGATATACTTAAGGCCTAAATTTGAATTGTTGTCATTTAATCAATATTCTAACTTAAAAATTACTTGAGGTATCATTTTCCCGAAAGATTCCATAATCTTAGAACTTTTCGCTTCTTGGTAATACGAAAAGCAACCCGTTATGATAACGACAATCGTTAAAACAACACCCAAGTATAGCTAGCGTGCATAAAAATGACAAACATACATAATAAAAATATTACAATCTTTTAGTAAAAATATCACCCTAATTTTAATAATTGGGTTGTTTTAATAATCAATATATAAATTTTGGACATTCTACATAAAAAAAGCTTATTAAATTTTATCATTAAACTATTAGTAATCGGGTATTTTAGATATAAGACTTCTTTTTAGCCCTTATATTCAAAAAAATTGTATTCGAACCCCAGACAAAATAAAACTATTATCAATTTGCAAGAAATGCCAAATTTTTAAAAAAAGGTGCGTACGTTATCTTTGGAAAAATTCCTATAGGTTGCAGCTTGAATGCCGTAAGCTATGAAACATAAGATAGCACCGCTCCAAAGAAGTATGGAAAATCCCCCAAATAATTGTCGGCAAAATTTGACCCATTCGGGAGTTTTTTGCGGAGGGGTAAGGGCATTGGGCCCATCTCTGGCGTATATTTCAGCGGCTTTCGTGGTTGAATAACCCTAAATATAGCAATCAACGTGTTTTCATGATTAAATTCTTTATAAAAACTTGTGAGTATTATATATTGATGCTTTTAATAATTAGCAACCTTTATCAAATAACAACAGCATTTCATATTTTCGCTATACTCCAACTCCAATTTTACAGTGGCTTTTTTTTTGTTCAGGTGGGAATAAAGTTTAAAATAGTCTTAGAAGGATTGTAAAATTAACTTCTTACATTTGATCTTAAATTAGTATGTATAAAACCTCCTTTTCTATTAATCTCTATGCAGGTGGAATTGGTATACGCTCATCTTCCCTACTCCCGGTCAGCGCCTTCATATCTTTGCGTTTATAATGAGACCCAATTATCAACAATGGTCGACCCTCCTTCAACTCTATGAGACTTACCCCTCTTTGTAACTCCGTTGCATTTCTTAAAGCAATCTGGGTAACATTCCTTACTCTATTTAACTTTCTCTACAAACATAAAATTTCTTGAAGCTATTCCTTCAATATTATCTACAGATCATCATGCCATCGTATTCAGACTTTGATATGGTCATACCTTATCTGCATCATATCAAACTCTTGCTGACTCAACAGCTATCCACTCTCTGCATTGCAAACGACGAAGAAGTAAATTTCTAAGATATATCCAATGCAATGGCACTATATCTCGTGCTATAAAATTTGCTGGAATTTCTTCTATCCTTGAGACGACTGGACTTTTCAACACAAATAGTAAACGTCCAGATGGATCAAATCCTTGAAAGAGAGGTGAGTTTTTAATAAGTATACATAAATCAACTCTACCCTTCAACCTAAATCATGATGCCATCGCCGCCGACGCAGAACAAAGAAAATCTACCAAATATTCTTTTATGTAGCTTTCCAACAATTTACACTAATTAGAGCTATAAATTTAATTTTCTTAAGCATTTAAGCCCTAGCCTTCTACAAAGATCTATGGCATCGTATTACATCTAAGACCAAAATCCAAACGAAGATCTTTACCTTCAACAAAGAGTTGCATTTAATATAATCAGAGCATGTCAGTTTCATATTCTCCGTTGGTGGGTAAAACATTCATTAGTGGAAAGATTCCAATAATCAATTTTACGTCATACCTCCTAATACCTAACAAGAATTATCTTATCATATTATTGTCCTAGGCTTAAGATCCTTCGAAAGATTGAACTCTTAAAATGATGCCTCATATTCCTCCTCGCAAAAATTATTATAACTTCATATTAAAAAAATAAATACTTTAATATTTTAATGTAAGCTTTTTTTCTGTCTATAGAAATTTTTTAATTATATCGCATATTAGTTAATATAGAAAATATATATGACTTATTTTATGACTAAGAATTTATTATAAATAAATTAAAAATTTTGTGTAAAACAATGTATAGTTTCTATTTAGAATAATTTGAAATCGTTACGAGTTATGTTACTTAATGAGGACTCCAAAAAGGCGTATAATTTAAATAAAATTTAGTTGTAAAGTCATCACGGTGATATATAATAATTATTAAATGCAATTTGACTCATTTTATCCCCTTTGATGTTAAATTTTGTGCTCAATAATATCGTGCAAAAGTAGGAGTCAGCTTAATGGCCGGGAAAATTTTTTGGGCTAGCCCACACAACCTAAAAATTATTTTACGGGCGGGGCCGAAAAAAAATTTATGGTCTGGACCAAAAAAAACTTTCTTTCCCACTACTCGGATAAGGCTTTAACTATATTAGAGAAATTTTGCTGTAATTAGATTTATCCCTCAATAAATTTGTTTAAGACAAAAATATTTTAATATACCGAATTTAAATCTTATTTACACTATTTTGTAATAATATACATGATACAAAATATATTTAAAAAGCAATCGTTTAAAACAAACTTTTATCGGATCAACACCGTATCTATCATATAATTCTTGCAGTGGAATGATATGTTCATCCTGTGGGGAAGGGGATAGAAAGAATTAAATATATTATCACATATTATTACTTTATATAAAAATATAAATTATAAACTCTGCATCGAACATGCTTTGAAGGTCTCTAGTTCAATTTCGGGGTTAAATTAAACCAGTTAGAGCAAGAGTTCATAACTCTATTTTTAATGGCTTACATATTCAAATGATTATTTTAAGTTTGTGATTAGATTAATTTAGCATCTTCATTGTTTTTTTATTCGCTTGTTTTTATTATGTAATTTACCTCTTCTACAAATATCGATAATTTAAATATTTTTATATCACATTGTATCGATTTCAAATAATCAGTTCATTTTATATAAGGGGAATAAGATGTATTTATTTTTTACTGTCTAACTATTTGGATTGTTAGTAGAACACAGGTGTTGAGTATAAAATTATTAATATTTGAGAAATTCAGATTTGTTTATTGTAATAAAAAAAATTATTTATATTAATTAAATATTAAAACATGCTAAGACTTTATTTTAGTCATCGTGTCATATGTTAATGTCTTTTTTCAAAAATTTTTGGAATAGTTCCTTTGAGAAATAAACCACAGAATTGGATGTCCTTTAAATAGAGTTTATATTTGAGCTCGTTGAAACAATCAATATATTATATACATGTTGTTTTATATATGTATTGGTTGATCTATATCTTACATCCTATTCTAAGGTCACACACCATTACTTTATAGTAGTTAGGTGGAAAAGAGATCTAATTTTGATTCTTTATTAACCACTGGATCTCCTCAATGACTTTTTGTCATAGCAAAAGACATAATAATGATTGAAATAAGTTATATATATTTATATTTGTGTCCAATGTGAAGAATTATAATTTTTTCCTCCAATATGTTCCTTTGAAAATTAATCGTACAAAATTCAATTTTATTTTTAATTATATTTATTAAATTTTTAATTATTAATTTTCATAAAAATTATCTTGTATGTAAGATACTCTTATTTATCAAAAGATACAAGTGTCTTATATCTTGATTCCTTTTTTACATTTTTATTATGACACTTATATCTATATCTTAGATACAATAATTTTTTCATAAAGAATCTGTATTTTTTAAAAGATCACCCCAACTCTGATTGTAAAAAAAACTAGAATCGAAATTAAATTTTAAAAACAAAATTGAAAAACTAATCCCTCCATACATTTTTACTTTTATTTTTAGTTGAAAAAAATCAAAAACAATTTTTGTCTACAGGAATCAATTAATTTTTCTTAATTCTTTTTGATTACATAAAGTTTGCTGTAAAGAGTTTAACTTAACCAAAACTAACTTCATGAAATTTAAGGATCATCTAAAAAAGTGCGATTTGTATCCTATGTTTTTAGATTTTTTTGTGCGTAAATCAAATATGAAAAGTAATGAGTTTTAGTCAAGTCTCTTATTTTATAGTTTGATAAAATTGTCATAAGACAAAAATATAAAGTATCATTTCTAAATATATGTCGTTGCGACAAAATGTAAAGCGGTTGATTAAATCCACACTTTTTTAATAAAATAGTGGGATTTATTCGTACAAATTTAATAGTTTATTTAATACATAGCTTCTCCTTATAGATTTAATGAAAATAAAATCTAAATCTACCAAACCATGTCTAGCTCCTGTTTAAGATTATCCAGCTTGCTAGTATCCTCATCTTTAGAACCCGACCAGCATTTAAAATGTTTCTTAATCTTTTTGGTAACTTTGATCGAACTGTTTCTTATTTTAGGACCCATCTGCATTACAGTATTTTGGGAATTAGACTTAGGAATAGGTGAATCACTTTTCAAGGCTTGGGTTCTCACGTTTTTGACTTCTTCATTTAAACCCTTGTTGATCACGTCATTTGAACCAGTGTTATTGGAGTTTGTCTTGAGCAAGGCCTTTACGCTATTATTGGTAATACTAGGCATGGTGTTGCTCAGGTTGGTATTTTGTGAGGTGACAGGGATATCCTGGAAACTATCCGTCGTGGTGCTCTGGTTAGAAATAGCATTGTCCGATTTAATCTTTTTATTTAAAACATAAAATTCCCTTTTATTTTTTATATATTGTAATTTTATTTATTATAAATAAATATATATCCAAAAATTTTGAAACAAATAAAAGTAAATAAATATTAGTTAGAATATATTTGGCACTAATGTGTTGTTTTATTTATAAGGGATGGCCTAAAAAATAATTATGTTCATAGGGGTATTTAATTAACTTTTTGAAAACTTGAAATTTCAAATATTACCCATGATAATATTCTTTAATAATAAAAAAAAATATTGAAGGATTATTGAATTCTAATGTTTTGAACCATTATATAATGGAATATGTAATTTATTTGTGGAGGACAGGAACAGTTATCGGTTCAACTTTTTTTAACCCATTCAGTTTGCTATTACTGTTGCCCCCCCCTCCTCCCCGAGACTCAAACAGGAATAGTTGGGAAGACCGGGGGTAAATAAAACAAATTAGACAAATAAAACTTAAACGCAATGACCCCAATTATTCAATTATATAATAATCTAAGTTTTTTTAAATATTTGAATTTTAGTATCACTAAAAAAGTGGATCGCATTGAAACAAGCTAGGGTAAGTTGGAAAACAACCCAGGACACTTTGATGCAAAATTTTTTATTTTTTATTTTTCTATCTCGTCCCGATTTTTCCTAGTACTTGATTATATTAGATATCTGCAAAGCCACACCTGGTAAAAAAATTTTTTAATTAATATAGGCCGGAGTGAGCAAAAAATTATAACGGTCCCGGCCGGGTAATTCATACATAAATAATTTTAGGGCCTGGCCGATCAATTAGATAAAAAAGATTTCGAACCAAGCTTGACAATTTATATATAAAAAATCAGGCAGAGTATCACAAAACTCTTTTAGGCAAACTTTTAATATAGTCTGGGGCATTAAAATTTTGATATATTTTTTTTTATTTCAAATTACTATTGCGATATTGATTTAGTATTTGAAAATAAGTTATTTATGTCATGATCCAATAACAAATACACAGTACTCATATCAAAAACACTGATTTTTAAACGGTTTTGTTGAAATAGATAGCCATAAAGGTAAAATTTTATGTCCTAAAAATTGATCCAAAAAAATTTGGGCGGGACGAACTTTTAGTAAAATATATCAGCCGGGCCTAACTTTTCCTAAATTTAGGGCTGGTAAAAAATTTTTAAAAATTTTAACAGGCCGGTCCGGTCAAAAATTTTAACGAGCCGAACTGGGTTACTTGTGCAAAAATTTTTAAGGGGCAAGCCATGCAGACAGCTTATATATCAGCATATATAAATAACTAAATAATCAATATTTGACATACCAAAGTTTGATCTTATAAAGACTTAATCTAAGAAGAAAAAAGCCTAATTTGATTATATTTGTCTTAAAATTTTATTTTTATTAAAACTAAACTCTGTTCTAAACCCGTTATTGAACTTAAATTTTTTTAAATCTTAACTTAACCCAAATGAATATGAAAACCCGTCCCCTAATTACAATTTATATCAATTATCTATTCATTATATTTTTGATGCTAGTATTTTTCATCATTATTTATTATATAATTGTAATAAAGGTAATTGGAATAAAATCCAACTATCTTAAGACTTAAGGCATAATACAAAGAGAAAAAAATATACTAATTAAATAAAGTACAGTATAAATTTGAGAAATGGCCAAAAAAAAGTATTCTCCTTTTTAAAATGGGCTAAAATCCAAATATTACCATGCTTGAATGAGTTATAAATTATGACAAATTTCGACAAATTCTATAAAAATATTTTAATTTTATTTTAAGCTTTTGAATTTTATTCTGAAAAAAATGTAATCCGAACATGCGAAATTTTTTTACGGTGTCGGGCCCTCTATTCAGAATATTCCCTTATTATTTTCTCTTTTAATAAAAGTATTCGAAAACATTTTTATGTTTTAATTCTATAAAATGTTTTCTTCTTATATTAGTATGTCAAGGTTTATGTTTATACTAAAAAAAGTAGATAATTTTTCAGAATTCATTTCATATAATACTAATCTCATTCTCAATCTCACTGCAAACTATAATTGAATTAAATTCAAGATTAACCCACAATAATAATGGTCATGTTCATTTAAATTATAATAAAATTGAAATGAATATATTTATTCATATTTTATAGAATTAAGAAAAAGAAAAAAACAATGAAACATTTTCACTCTTGTGGATGAAAAAACCATTTTGAGAAAAAAAAAGACGAAAAAAAAATTGTTTATTTTAAAAATATATATAGTACCAATATTTTAATTTTATTGGAAATTTTTCATTATCACAGTTAATAATCTGCATCGGGCCTAATTTTTCAAGCCCGGCCAAGGCCCGAAATTTTTTTTAAAAAGTTTTGCCCGGCTCGAACCCGAAATTTTTTTTGCCGGCCCGACCCGAATTATTTTTGAAAAAATTTACCGTGGCCCGGCCCGAATTTATTATAAATATAGAAATTAATTTTTATAAATAATTAACGATATATGTTATAGAGATCTGCAAAGTTAGGCCCGGCCGTTGCAGATCTCTAATCACAGTCATTTTATAACTCGCTTCATTATGTCAAATTAAGTTTTAACTTTAAGTTAATTTTTTTTTATAAGAAAATTAATTCTATAAAATTTAATTATTAGTTTCAAAATTTCGTTAAAATGATTTTAAGCATGTTTTTTGTTGTCCTTACCTTCTCCCTATTTTTTCACATTTATAAAAAAACAGTCTTTGTTTTTTATGTGCCTTGACTCATTCTTATAAAAATATAATAAAAAATTGAGGAAATATAATTTATTAGGCGATTATTGATCTAATAGAATTTTAAACGATATCGAGTCGATTCAATTTTCTTAAATTCCGAATAGATATTTTTTTTCAGGGGATACGTTAATATATTTATTTTTTTACTTTAGCTCATGAGATATTCTATTTCCAGTCATAACTTAATATCGAGATCCAAACAGGTCCTCTACCCTAATCGAAAGAATTTTTTTGGACTGGACGGAGATATGATTAGTATAAGATTTCAACTTCTTCCTTCCCTCTTTCTTTATTTATTTTTTTTCTTTCTGATTTTTGTATGCTATTTGCATATAATATTATGAGTAAATATTTCATCATTATTCCGATTTTGACTAATCACATTTATTTTCTTTTAAAGTTAACCCTCGAGATAAAGGCAGTGATTATTCGTATCCATAGTTTTTAAAATTTTGTTTTTACCAAAAATTCTTTCTATATTTTGATTTGGGTTTCCCTTTAGCTTAACTTAATTAAAGTTTATATATTTTGGGTTTAAAGTTAATTTTAGTTTTTTCTTCGTTAATTATTGGTAGATTTAGGCATAAGTGTAGTGTATGTTATTCTAAATCTAATTAACCCTTTATCCCTAACAATTACAAAGAATCTATTTGAAGTTAATATTTAATATTTATATAAATATATTAACCAATGTTGTTATTTGATCGTTCAAATACGGTTAAGTCAATTGACCGGTATTGATCGGTTAAATATGGCCAAATTTAGTTAAATGTTTTTAAGTACAATGTTAACTTTATTTTGTATATAATAGTAAAATGAATCTATAATTTTAACTTTATAATATTTTTTAAATTCATTTTCATTCAATAACTTGTTTCGCTCTCCATGGTAGAGTCTTGTTCTGATTTATATTCAATATTATCATTTTCTTTAATATTTTTTTATCTTCATGTGACGAGATCTTCAATCGATTTTTGCTTTAGTAAGAATATTAACCCAAATCGACCAATTTCTTTCTGAAGAAGAAGTAGAAATAGGAATTGTTAGACACTTATATTCATGGACATGTAAGAAAAGCCCATTCCACTACCTCGAGACCGGAATCTGATTGTTTCTTATGGAAGTTAATATCTTCCACATAATTTGCTAAACTTGCCTTTTTTACTTCTGAAATTTATGAAATCACTTGAAATATTTTGATCATCATCACTTTTTAAAATGCCTAATTCTTGTATTATATTATATCACATATTTCATTGAATTCACTATTAGTAAGATGCTCCCCTTGATATTTGGGACCAAAAAATAAGTAGCATTGTAATCACATGTATTTATATGGTTTTTTCTTTTTTCAAGCATATCTTAATTTTTTTTTCAGATTTTTTAGAGTATTTGACCAGATCAAATACTCCTCCAGTCATTTAACCAGTCAATTGACTCCATTTGACCGGTCAATTAACCCACTTGCCAGCCCTGATATTAACTAATTAATAATATACAATGTGAAAGTTCTTTTGCTAAAACCGAAATTACCAATATTATCCCCGAAATATTACATCATTTTATTAATTTACTGAGAAATTAATTTAATTTACAATGAAATTCACGAATTATGAATAATTATTATTATCATAATATCATTATGAATTACTATAAAAAAAATAGCTAAATTGTGAATTAATTATTTTTAAAATATTATTATAATCATTATAATGTTTTAATTAACACTATTATTAGCTTTATCAAATCGTTAATTCAATCTAAATATAACTCCGAGACAAAAAAAATATAATAATTATTATATTTTGAAATAGATATGAAATTTGATCCATTCCGTTAATTTTGATGAGATGAAATAAAAGTCTACCTTATCTTATCAGTTTTCATCATTTAAGCTAATGCAAGAAAAAAAGCTTTAAAATGAGTTTTCTCGATAAAATTTATATTATAATAAATAAACGTAGGAGTAGAATTATTTTTATTTTAAAAAATGTTTTGGGAAAAGTTAAGGCCATAGTTTTATGTTTTTAACATTTTAAATAATTGAT